TGCTGGCAGCACTCATATGTCTATTTCCCAAAGACAACCTCTGGATATGACGCTGAGCACGTGCACTCAACGTCTTTGGTCGACCATGGCGAAGCCTGTTCTGAGTGGACCAATAAAAAGAGGACATGAGGCCATGCATATTTATCACAGAAAAAAAAAGGGGGGTGTGAAAAAGAAATTCACAAGAAAAGCGGTTACATCATGAACCGAAAGCGATATCCAAAAATTTCTCAAAAATTATGCTTTATTGCAAAAAATGCACACATTAGACATTTAGGTAAATACCCCAGTTAGCCATCACCACAAGATGAGACAATACAAAAAATATGACCTAAAACAAGAATTAATAAAAGCAAGATGTCATGACCGGCCATAAGTACAATAGTGCTATAAATGTAATGAGATGAGATTAGGTCTAGTATATATACAGCACAGACACATTGGAAACACCACCATATAGGGGATGTATACTAAAATGATCACCTTGAAAGGCTATACATCAAATGCTCAATTGTGTGAACATTAGTACCAGTATAATAAGGACTGAGGAGCCCGATTAAACAATACTTGTATGCTAGTGAAAGATCCAACTTAGAGTAAGGATCAAAGAGAAACATATGTAGCAAAAAATATTTGATTGCTAATATAGGCACCGGTAACCTGATGATATAATGTGTTAAACACACACTTTCATGTAGGAAAAATATATGGCGCTTTCAACAGGGATGAGTGGTTCTTGACTGATGAATAAACAATAATGTCCAGAGATAACACTATGGAAAAAACTTAATGACAATGGTGACTTCTCCATATGACATCTGTCATCTGTAGTTGAAATGGCAGGGCCCTTCCAATGTAATTTAGGGATTCTTCACCACCGACGTGCAGACTAGATGTCTCCCTTATATATATATCTGTTGTGTAGATCAGGGCTTAAAATTTCAAGTCCTGAGCTACTAGCCAGGCCTTAGAGTTACTCGCCACCAACAAACACACACAAACAGAGACACCTGTACACACACACAGAAACATGTACACACGCACAGAGACACATGTACACATACACACATACAGACACGTACACACACACATACACACACAGAAACATGTACACACGCACAGAGACACATGTACACATACACACATACAGACACATGTACACACACGCATATACACAGATACATGTACATACACAGAAATACACATGCACAGACACATGTAGTACATACACACAGACACATGTACATACATACACAGACACATGTATGTACATACACACAAAACACACACACATATGTACATGTACACACACACAGATGCACACACATACATGTACATACACGCAGGCACATGTACAGATACACACATGTACATACACACAGACACATGTACAATTTTACATGCATACACACAGACACACACATGTACACGTACACACACACACACACCCCCCCCCCCCATAAAAAGTTGCAGTACTTCGTTGTTCACTCACAGATCTGGGTACTGCACTCTAGGAGGAGGCAGAGAGCACAGCACACACTCCTTACTTTGCTTTCACTGTGCTCAGCTATTGAGCAGTCTGACGGCTCCCAGTGCCAATGACAGATCCAGCCTAAGCTCCGAGCCTGCTCAGCAAGACAGCCCTGGGGGACACACTCGCCCCCACCATAATTTCCACTCACCATTGTCGAGCAGGCAAGTGGAATTTTCAAGCCCTGGTGTAGATTATGGGAATATCCATGCTGTATAGTGAAAATTGGGTGCTGTGCACCTTCTAAGAAGTATGGCACGATGTCCCCATCCTGTAGTGAATAAGTGACATAAGAGATAGTCAATATGGTTGTCACTAAGTATATCAGATATTGATGGCCATAAGGCCGTAATTCCTTTTCTGTATTTGTGTTCCACTCACCACCTGTTCAATGAGTAAAGAACGGTGCATAATTATTCTTGTTATTGGATTCAAGCCCGGAGTCCAGGAGGCAGCCACCAGCATCGGGACTATGGACAAACGGGCTCTGCTTCCATCCCGTTACACATGCAGATTGATGAACGCCCAGCACGAGCGTGTATTTCCATGTACCCTGCAGGACAAGGTGTATTACGCCAATGCGTCTCACCGGTAATGACGTCACGCCGAAACGCATTGACGTGACACGTCAGTGACATCACTGCCGGTCAGTTGGAACTTTCACTAGCATACAAGTATTGTTTAATCGGGCTCCTCAGTCCATATTATACTGGTACTAATGTTAACACAATTGCATATTTGATGCATAGTCTTTCAAGGTGATAATTTTTGTATACATCCCCTATATGGTGGTGTTTCCAATGTGTCTGTGCTGTATATATACTAGACCTAATCTCATTACATTTATAGCACTATTGCACTTATGGCTGGTCATGACATCTTGCTTTTAATAATTTTTGTTTTAGGTCACACTTTTTTGTACTGTCTCATCTTGTGGTGATGGCTAACTGGGGTATTTATCTAAATGTCTAATATGTGCATTCTTTGCAATAAAGCATACTTTTTGAGAAATTTTTGGGTATCGCTTTCTGTCCATGATGTAACCGCTTTTCTTGTAAATGTCTTTTTTTCACCCCCCCCCCTTTTTTGCTGTTCTGAGTGGAACCTGTCCTGTTAAACCGCTGTATGGTATTGGCCACCGTGCTGCAGCTCAGTTTCAGGGTCTTGGCAATCTTCTTATAGCCTAGGCCATCTTTATGTAGAGCAACAATTCTTTTTTCAGATCCTCAGTGAGGTCTTTGCCATGAGGTGCCATGTTGAACTTCCAGTGACCAGTATGAGAGAGTGAGAGTGATAACACCAAATTTAACACACCTGCTCCCCATTCACACCTGAGACCTTGTAACATTAAAGAGTCACATGACACTGGGGGGAAATGGCTAATTGGGCCCAATTTGGACATTTTCACTTAGGGGTGTACTCACTTTTGTTGCCAGCGATTTAGACATTAATGGCTGTGTGTTGAGTTATTTTGAGGGGACAGCAAATTTACACTGTTATACAAGCTGTACACTCACTGCTTTGCAGTGTAGCAAAGTGTCATTTCTTCAGTGTTGTCACATGAAAAGATATAATTAAATATTTACAAAAAAGTGAGGGGTGTACTTACTTCTGTGAGATACTGTATATATATATATATATATATATATATATATATATATATATACACACTCTATATTCCCAAAAAGTATTGGGATGCCAGCCTTTACACACACATGAACTTTAATGGCATCCCAGTCTTAGTCCGTAGGGTTCATTATTGAGTTGGCCCACCCTTTGCAGCTATAACAGCTTCAACTCTTCTGGGAAGGCTGTCCGCGAGAAGTGCATTCATGAGGTCAGGCACTAATGTCGGGCGAGAAGGCCTAACTCTCAGTCTCCGCTCTAATTCATCCTAAAGGTGTTCTATCGGGTTGAGGTCAGGACTTTGTGCAGGCCAGTCAAGTTCCTCCACCCCAAACTCTCTCATCCATGTCTTTATGGACCTTGCTTTTTTGCACAGGTGCGCAGTCACGTTGGAACAGGAAAGAGCCATACCCAAACTGTTCCCACAAAGTTGGTAGCATGCAATCATCCAAAATGTCTTGGTATGCTGACACCTTAAGAGGTCCCTTCACTGGAACTAAGGGGCCAAGCCCAACCCCTGAAAAACAACCTCACACCATAATCCCCCCTCCACCAAACTTTATACTTGGCACAACGCAGTCAAGCAGGTACCGTTCTCTTGGCAACCGCCAAACCCAGACAAGCCCATTGGATTGCCAGACAGAGAAGCGTGTTTGGTCACTCCAGAGTCCAGTGGCGGAGTGCTTTACACCACTGCATCTGACGATTTGCATTGCACTTGGTGATGTAAGGCTTGGATGCAGCTGCTTGGCCATGGAAACCCATTCCATGAAGCTCTCTACACACTGTTGTTGTTCTAATCTGAAGGCCACATGGAGTTTGGAGATTTTTAGCTATTGACTCTGCAGACAGTTGGCGACTCCTGCGCATTGTGCGCTTCAGCATGTGCTGACTCCATTCTCTCATTTTACGTGGCCTACCACTTCGTGTTGCCATTGCTCCCAGTTGCTTCCACTTTGTTATAATACCACTAACAGTTGACTGTGGAATATTTAGTAGCAAGGAAAGTTAATGGATGGACTTATTGCACAGGTAGCAACCTATCACGGTACCACTCTTCACTGAGCTCCTGAGAGCGACCCATTCTTTCACAAATGTTTGTAGAAGCAGTCTCAATGCCTAGGTGCTTGATTTTATACACCTGTTGCCATGAAGGTGATTAGAACACCTTAATCCAATGATTTGGAGGGGTGTCCCAATACTTTTAGCAATATAGTGTATATGGAAGCTACACACAGCTATGTGCCTAATCAAATGTGATTCTACACTAATGTATTTAGATATCAGCACTGGTTTCCACTTTAATGACCATGATTTTGAGATTGAATGTCCAGCAAGGTAATAAAGGTCATTTTAATAAAGAAATTATATTACTCTGGATCTCGGAGTGAAATTATCAGTTTCTGCAGTCAGTTTTGCCCATTGAGCTGCTTTATTTTTGTGAAATGTAAAATAATGAGGGCCTATTTTCTGGCACAGAAACAGAAGAACAGATCCAGAATAGCTAGTTTAAGTCCATTCTACCCTTAAAAACCACCTTGCTCCACCTTTCCCATCAACCACCACAAAATCGTGACATGCAAATCCTCTCTCGGTTTTCCTTCTAATACCATGGATTGGAAACTGGATAGTATAAAATAATCACAATGCAAATAATATAAACTCACCTTACAGCAAATATCTGATCCTCAACCTCCAGTTTTCCCAGTTTTTTATATACAGCGTGCATAAACTTATCGCCTTGGTAAGCTGTCCCTCTGCCATCTACTGATGCAACAACAATGTCCTCAGAGCCAGAGAGATAGGTCCTCCAGCCAAATGCAAATGCGGCTGTCACTTCTTGGCTGCAGGGGCCTCCATACCTTAAAGATGTGTTAAAAAAGGAATTTCAGCTTACATCATAGGATTTAAAACAATATAAAAGAATTGTAAAACCAACACTTTGTTCCATAAATATGATAAATGTATTTAACCAAATTATGCAGAAAGCGAATATAAGATGATTGATAACATCCTTTGCTCTTGTTACCTGTACCTTTAAATTCATTCATCTTTATCCCTCAGCAAAATCTATTCCAGAGTTATTAGATTATAGATGGGCCATTAATGATCATTTCTCTAGAGATCACCAAGATCAGTGAATTAGAAAGGAGAAGCCTCATTGCTCATCTTGAGCTGCCTATATGTGGAGAAAATGTAAACTCATAGGATGTGGTTCCTTCACCTATTATTGATCAAGACATTGAAAGTAGGGTTCAAGAAAATGTACTAAATGTACTAACTAAAGCATACATCCCCATTCTACAATATTCACAACCTACAATATTTTTCACAATGCAAGCTTTACCGAAAAAGCAAAAGTAACTATTGACTGATCTGGATGGATTGGGGTGCTGTATTGAAAACCATACATTGATTCTTGTTTCTACAAGCCATTGTTATGTTGGCATTGTTTGAATTCCCTTAGCTCTGCCCACCCATTAGCCACTGTGATGGCCACCATTTAATTGGTGGACAGAAGAAACTCTTGATACTAGTTTTCATATTTATACTGACATTGGTAGACATAGGGTAGGCATCAAGCTGGAAAATCTTAATTTACAGTATACTGTAGATTGCATGTGGGAAGGAGTTAATGCAGGAATATGAATGGCTACCTAAGAACTTGCACCTGTAATGGCAGGTCACTTATCTGTTCTGACAAGCTCCTTATGAGCAAAGTTCGTATCATGCTGTATTGCTGCTATATTGCAGTAAATTACATACACATAAATGAGAAGAGGGTATTTCTTTGACTTATCAAAGTATGGTGGAAGGGTCAACTTGTACCAGAATGCTGGAAAAAACAAAGATAGGAAGTATTTTAGGTAGACATCAAATAGATCCAAATATGTAACTTTATTTCATTTTTAGGGGCAATAGTGCCTAGGGTGACCATACATGTAACAATCTTATCAAATGATCTTTCACAGAATCGGACAATATGATCAAATCTATTAATCCAAGATACAAACAGCATCATTGTTTGATTTTGAGAAAAACAACCAATTTAATTGAAATGGCCCTGATTGTTCTGGATGTAAAATCTGATACAGTAGATAGATCGATATGATTTTTAAGTGTATGACACACTGGATAATCTTCTCAAACTTTCAATGAACCGATCAAATTGTTCTTAATTGACAATACTATTGTGCATAAAATCTTTCCATGTATGGCCACCATTAGACCAATAACATATTTTATTTACAATATTGAGCTCATTCACTATATGTTTCATTCAATCATTGAAAAGCTATTTTTTTTTTGCTACTATTTAGCGGTCATTAGCACTTTTGCACTGGCAACAGAGAAGGTAAACAATAGAAATATAACAGAAAAAGATCATACTCATTCCATTCCTTTTAAAATTCCCAATTTTGTTTTCAGGCATTCGTACTGTTCGAAGTTGCTCTCCCAGTTTGCTGTTGTCTTCTAGTACCTTGAGTTCTATAATAAGATATATTGCAATAAGTGATACACCTCTGTCAGCCTCTATATTCACAGATATACTATATATAACTAGAAAAGCTGAAATTTCTGGGGAAATTGTGTGAAGTGTTCTTGCCTCCACCAGTAGTCTACAACAGGAGTGGGCGGAGTAACTGGGTGGAGTGGCTTGAGTAACTGTTGTGTGGTTGGAGTGGCTGGAGTAACTGTGAAAAGGTTGGACTGGGCAGAGTAACTTTATGGAGTGGGCAGAGTAACTGTGTGGAGTGTGTTTGGCGTGAGTAAAGATAGTAAACATTACACTAACCAATTGATTGATCAAATTTAAAAGCTGGCAAGCTTGATAGAGTGAGAAATGCATTTCAACTTTAAATTATTTATAGTTTTTAAAAACTATAAATCCTACAGCGAAGAGCTTCATCTTGTGAGAATCACAAGACTCAGACCTACATTTTCATGCATAGTATGTCTCTGAAATATTAAAAATGAAGGCACAGTCGCAGTTTAGAAATTGCCCTTCAAATTTGAGGTGGCTAGAGTGCAGTTTCAATGAATGTCAATGGGCAGCGTGAGTTGCAAATAAATGGTCATATGGTGAAAACTATCAGGACTACGGCTTAGCCGTGGACATTTTTAGTGGCAGCAGGGATAGCTGAACATTTTGATATAAGATTTATGTAGGTGGGCTTGAAAATGAGGGAGTGATGGCAGTCTAGAAATCATGTCCTGATTTTTCAGCTCACACTCTAGCTTTTGTCAGCTCCCACTCTAATTTTGAACATTCCTCCATTCATTCCTATGGGACCAATTTCACCACAAAAACGCCGATATTTCATGAACCATTCGGCGAAACGTTCCACAAAGTAATAGCACACCAATCGGGAACAATCCGCACGTTTCAGTATATTACTGTCTATGTAGTGTAAAAACTGTGGGAGGAGTTAGGGTGGTAAATTTGGCTATAATAATAAGAATATATATGTGAGATAACAGTAAGTGGTCTTGCCATGCAAGAACACTTAATAAAAATTGAATCTCTCTCTCTCTCTCTCTCTCTCTATATATTCTATACTCATATATTGATATGAATTAATAAGTAGTATAGAAGTGGAGCAACAGTGGTGTCTTTATTCACTACTAACTTAGAGGTAAATGAGTACCCCTTAATCATTTATGTAGGGGGTGAGCCCCTTGCTTTTAAAGGGGTATCAAGATTTTGATAAGCCATTGTTGGGGGAAGGGGCCCTTGTCCTTGTCAACATGCATCAAGTTGCTTTGCCAGGAGGGTTCATGTTGAGGGCATGTGGAGTGGTATGGTTCTCCGGGTTGAACGTCTAATATAAATTTTGTGCAGGGTGGGGCACACTTTTTTTTTTTTTTCTTTTTGCGTGGGGTTAACCTTGAAATTCATATCAGACCTGAAGCATCTGGTATGGAGTTTTTTGCTTGTTCTTTTTTTTTTTGTGGAGTCCAGCTAAGGGTCTGGTATATACTGTATTTTAAGGAGGAACATAGTTAGTCTGAACTGGATGGACATTTGTCTTTTCAGCCAACCATTAAAAAAAGTTATAATCCTATACCCACAGTTGATCCAGAGGAAGGCAAAAAAACCCAGCAAAGCATGATCCAATTTGCTCCTGCAGGAAAAAAAAATTCCTTTCTGATCCCCCGAGAGGCAGTTGGATATTCCCTGGATCGGCTTTACCTATAAATGTTAGTATCCAGTAACATTCTGTGTATCTAAGAAACAATCCAGGCCTTTTTTACAGCAATTTCCACTGAGCTGGCCAGAACCAACTCTTGAGGAACTCTATTCCACATTTTCACATCTCTCACTATGAAGGAACGTTTCCGTGTTTGGAGATTAAATTTCTTTTCCTCCAGACGTAAAGAGCTCCCCCTTGTCCTCGGTGTAGAGTTATTCATCCTGAGGTCATCACAGAGTTCACTATATGAACCACTGATTTATTTATACATGTTGATCATATCCCCCCTTAATCTTCTCTTCTCAAGAGAGAATAAATTCAGTTCCTCTAATCTTTCCTCATAGCTGAGCTCCTCCATGCCTCTTATCAGTTTGGTTGCCCTTCTCTGTACTTTATCCAGTTGCCCAATGTTCTTTTTGTAAATTAGTGCCCAAAACTGAACTGCATATTCCAGATGAGGTGTTACTAATGATTTGTACCGGGGTAATATGATATCTCTCTCTCTGGAGTCTATACCTCTTTTAATACAAGAGAGGATTTTGCTTGCTTTAGAAACCGCAGCTTGGCATTGCATGCCATTATTAAGCTTGCGATCTACCAGAACTCCCAGATCCTTCTCCACCATTGATTCCCCCAGTTGTACCCCCCCAGTATGTTTGATGTATGCATATTCTTAGCCCCTAAGTGCATATCCTTACATTTATCAACATTAAACCTCATTTGCCACATAGTTGCCGAATTAAACAGTGCATTGAGGTCAACTTGTAAGTTGGAGACATCCTGTAAGGACGTTATTCCACTGCACAACTTGGTGTCATCTGCAAAGACTGAAATGGTATTTTTAATCCCAGACCCTATATCGTTTATAAATATATGAAAAAGTAAGGGTCCCAACACTGAACCTTGGGGTACATCACTGACAACCCTAGACCATTCAGAGTATGAATCATTAACCACTACTCTTTGAATACGATCTTTTATCCAGCTTTCTATCCATTTACATACAGATTTTTCCAACCCCGTAGACATTACCTTACACATTAGCCGTGTGTGGGGAACTGTGCCAAACACTTTTGCAAAATCCAAGTATACCACGTCCACCACCACCTCTCTGTCCAAGGTTTTGCTCACCTCCTCATAAAAAGAAATCAAATTTGTTTGACAACTTCTGTCTTTCATGAATCCATGCTGTCTGTTACTTAAAATATTTTTTTCCAGCAAGAAATCATCTATGTGGTCTTTTATTAAACTCTCCAGTATCTTCCCAACTATAGAAGTTAAACTAACAGGTCTATAATTACTTGGTAAAGATTTTGACCCCTTTTTAAATATTGGCACCACATTGGCCTTACACCAATCCAATGGGAACAACACACTGGTTTTATTTTGTGCTGTGTCCCCCATTAACATCTATATCAGAACCTCATATAAGATAAGGGTCTGGTATAGGAGAAGGGAATCCCCAGTCACTTTGTTTACAAACAGAATGAAGAATCCAGGAGCGGTAATTTACCAGTCATTGACACAGCATTTTTTTTCTTTGTAAATGTACGTTTTACAGTATTAGTTCATATACATTGCACAGATGCGCCACTTCACAGGCAGGTTCAGGGCACTCAGCAGGAACATTTTTTAAAGAGTAACTCCACTTTTGTTGAGAAAAAAACAATTACCTCTAGGTGATCTATGTACTTTTAAGGATTTTAACATACAACATGTTTCTGCTCTAAAGGAGACACTCTTTGCTAGATCATGTGCAGGACTGATTCTGAATGAGAGTGACTTTTTCATTTTTGATCAGCTGATACACTTGAGGAGAATGGCATTGTCTACGTTCCTTTAGAAACATTTTACCCAAACTGAACTTTTTGTTGCAGATGGTGCCTGAAATCTGCCTTGTATCTTAGTGCAGACGTCTGAGAAAATCAGAAGCCAATCACACAAGCAGGAAATGACATCTCTGGGGGCGTTCTGTACACCAACTGTGTACAGAACATCTTGGGTAGCCATATTGCACTGAATTTTACAGAAACGTACAGAGCTGCAAATTGAAAAGCAAAGGTAATTTTTAAAAACAATAACTTCCAATGTGACTTGTGTCATAATTATATATGCTATATATTTTTTTTTTATTGGCAATATTTTTTTCCCATGAAAATGGAGTTACCCTTTTACGGAATTTTATATTTTTAATGTTGCTCTCAGGCATTACTGAAATCGCTTCTGCCAGCCAAAATTATTTTTATTTTATTGTTATGATACATGTTCCCCAGGCCAGTGCCAAGCACCTTATGCCATTAGTTTGACAACCCTTTGCCTATTAACCTAGAAAATGGCTATAACTGATTTCTAAGATTCATATCCTGTTCAATGGGGTTTGGATTAGGCACCCAAAGTTTAGTATAGTTTGACAAACCTGCCTCGAACTGAACCCAGGTATGTTTGGCTCATCCTTAACTGTCAGAAGGACAGGATGTAAAGTGAAATCAAGATAACAGTACAAATCTGACAAGAGTTCTAATTCTTCCCTGCTCTTGCAAATTAAAAAAAAAAGGTTTTGACTTGACACACTCTAATTTCCTGCAATTTCTGGCAGGCAACGTTAAGGGCAATATCAAAATTATAATCACTGTGCAAATATAAAAATAACTGAGAGAATCGGTTCTATATATACAAGATGTTGTGAACTTGCTACGCTTTAAATCCACAGCAGAACATCTATGATGGTTACAAAGGAGACATCTGCCGGCCACATTGTGAAATTACACAATCTAATCTGTAGCACTGCGGTTTACTTAAAAATGTAATGGAAAGATTACAACAAATATACAGATTTCAGTAGCTGCAGAAGGTGAAGGTGCCACACTGAATACTTGCTATATACTGTACATGAAAAAGACCCTTGTTTCAGAGATCTAGTAAGGCCACACTCTCCCCCCCCCCTCCTTTTTTTTTCTCTCACCCTGCCATAGGACTTTCCTTAGGCTGGCCATAGATGAGTCCGTTTTATTTTTTTTGTTCAAACAGTGGGTTGAACAAAAAAAGAAAAAATTTACCTGATTCCCCCATCCACACAATCGAGGTGGATGGGGGAATGCTCCCCACTATGTTTTTGTATACTGGCAGAGGGGAGAATACGTCAGAATATACAGATCAGTGCTGCAGTCTATAGCCTGCAGTGCTGATTGACACCCTGTTTTCCAAAAGAATGGTTAAACAGAAGTCAATCTGTAGATCAACTTCTGTTCAATCACAATGGTCATACATGGATTGAAATTCAGCTGGTTCAGCAGGGACCAGCTGAACGTCAATCCATGCATGACCACTGTGATTAGACAGAAGTCAATTTGCCAAACACTATAACCAGCCTGGATCTTGACTAGATCCCTTCCCCCTTTCTTCTTGTCCTTAGGATTTCCTTCCTGTCCTTTAGGGCCCCGTTCTATATGCGTTACAAAATATAAGAATATTTTCTCCTTTGGATTTATACCAAACAATTTATCTCACAAGCTGATGCTCACCCTATATATAATGAGGCTCTTGGGGCACTAGATACCAAGTAATGTTATTTTATTTATGGGCAGCACAGTAACTAAATGGTAAGCACTTCTGCCTGGCAGCACTAGGGTTGTTGGTTCAAATCCCAACCACAGCAGCACCTCCACAAATTTGCATATTCTCGCTGTGCCTGTGTTGGGGTACTCCAGTTTCCTCTCACACTCCAAAGACATGCTGGTAGATAAATTGGCCCTAGCATGTGTATGTATGAATATAAATAGGGATCTTAGATTGTATGTTCCTTGAGGGTTAGGGAGTGATGTGAATGTGTAGTATATACAGTATATATATGTAAAGCACTGTGTAAATTGATAGTGTTCCATAAGTACCTAGGATAAATAAATACTTGTCTTCTCAAAAATGCTCAGTGAACCTCTTAAAGAGTTGAAAAAATATTTTTACACTAAAATCTGCATTTTCTGGGCAGTGAACATGTAGTGAAATCTGATCTAAGCTAGTTATACACACAATAATTTCTCTAATATAATAGATTCCTCAATTCAATCTAAAGAGAACATGAAGGAATCTTCCCTGCTGGCTATTAAACTGGAGTCACTGAAGTCACTGTTCAGCCAACTTTCTTCAACAAAAGTCAATTGAAAATCGAATTTTGTGGAGCCTGGTGCAGACTTGTGATGAGCTAAGATTTGGGCTGAACCCAGTTTGACCCAACCCGCAGGACATTGTCACATGATAGCAGACCGTTGGGCCAATCATCTGTGGCCAGGGAATTTCCTTCCCCGCAGCCATACATAACAAAAGGGCTGGGATGCTGGCTGATTATCCAAATATATTTAGCCATGCTCATACTTGGACAAAGTCATTGATCAAATATAGCCAGGTGGCTATATTAGGTCAATGATGTCACCAGTCTCTTTGTTGTATGCAGCTGTGGGGTGGGGTTCAGGACAAGGGCGGACTGACAACTCATGGGGCCCCTGTGTCCTTGCCCAAACTCAAAAAAGCCTATGGAAAAGGTATCAGGGGCATCTCATGGGGTCCCCTACTGACCCCGGCCCTCGGGCAGTGCCCGAGTTTCCAAATGGTCAGTCCGCCCCTGGTTCAGGATGAACTGGGTTTCACCCAAACCTTAGCTTACCAGTGCACTAGCAGTGCCATCAACAACGCACATTTTTGATTATTCAGAAACAAACAAAAATATGGGCTGTGTATGGCCAGCTTTACTTGATCCAGCCCAGTACAAAAAAAACAGCAACTCTCTAAATGACAATGAAAGCAATTGTTGGTAGTGCATGCATCACTGACTGTGTTATGAATATGAATACAGAATATGAATACAGAAAACTGAAGTTGCCATTGGCTAAATACAGCTTTGCCATTGTGCAATCTATTTCAAAACACATTTGGAATCTGGATTGATCTCTCAATAAAGTAACATTTGCAAACAATCAACATCAGGATTTTCCTATTCTTCAATGGGAGATCCAGATCAATATAGTAGGGTTTATTTACTAAAGCTGGAGAGTGCAAAATCAGGTTTACTTCTACATAATAACCAATCAGCTTCCAGGTTTTATTGCCAAAGGCTAACTGAACAAGTTGGGGTTAGAAGCTGACTGGTTTCTATGCAGAAGTGAGCCTGATTTTGCACTCTCCAGCTTTAGTAAATAAACCCTATATTGATCTGGATCTCCCATTGAAGAATAGGAAAATCCTGATGTTGATGATTGTTTGTAAATGTTACTATATTGAGAGGTCAATCCAGATGACAAATGTGTTTTGAAATAGATTACACAATGGAGAAGCTGTATTTAGCCAATGGCAACTTCAGTTTTCTGTATTAATTAAAGATAAGGGATCTATTTGTAAAAGATAAGGGATTAATATAAGATAAAGGATCTACTTATAAATGTTCTCACACAACCTTCCCGAAGGAGTCACATTTTTCAAATTGAATCTAATTTAAAAAATGTGTGAATTCTGGGTGAAAATAATGTGAATCTTGTATGAAAATATTCAAGCATTTACCCCCAAGTGTTGATCTGCTGTTTTTTGTGTTACTACACCTTTCTTATTCCTTTTCCCTAACTGAATAATTCCAAATGTAACTAGATTATAAAACCATTATAAATACCTCTGTTAGTGGTGCCATTATGAATAGAAGTTATAGGTAGCCACGGACCTGTAAAATAGAACAAATATAAGTGATTGGTTGTGATTGACAACAATAGCACATCTTTTTTTTTTATATAATAATGCATAAAACCAGGGTTGGGTTTACAGTAATTCCAAGAGAGTGACTCATCATTAGTTTGATCAGATCTGATGGCCTTCTTGGGGCTCTTTCACACCAGGTCATTGATCTGTGTTGATCAGTATTGATCAGGTGGTGTGAAAGGATCCCTAAATCCAGTATTTTCCATTTACTTGGTGTGGAATTCTCCTTTTTTAGAGATGTACAAGGTATGACAATTTATTTCCCGGAATGGACTTTAATAAAAAAAAAAGTTTGCTTATATTTACACTATTGGCTGTTGTGATCTTCAAAGTAGTCCCCTTGTGAAGCGACATACTTTTCTAGATGACTGTGCCACTGTCAGAAACATTCCTACAATTCGTTTTCCGGGAAACACTGTGCAGTATCTTTGTCACAGTGTGCTGGATGTCTGAAATGCCATCAAATCTGTGCCCTTTTTTAATTTTGTAAACAGCCAAAAGTCGCAGGGTGCCAAGTCAGGGGAATCAGATGGTTGGTTAGGTTTCTGAATGGATTTCTGGGCCAGGAACTCGCAACCATTTATTGCATCATGTGAAGGACCATTGTTGTGGTGGAGAATACATTTGTCAGGCCAGAGTTCTGGTCTTTTCCTCCAAACAAAATTCCCGTAAACGTTTAATTTAGCACACTTGCATCCATTCTTTGCATTTTTGGCTGCCTACTTCTTGCGTCATCATGGACATCTTCCTACTTCCTTAAACCACCAATGCCATTCAAAAACACCTGATTTCTTCATTGAATTTTTACCTCACGCTTGTAACAGAGCTAAAGTTTTGCTTGCACTTTTGCCAATTTTCATGGTTGGAGTTTGTATGTTCTCCCTGTGCCTGTGATGGGTTACTCTGGTTTCCACCTACACTCCAAAGACATGCTGGTAGGTTACTTGGCTCCTGTCTGAACTGGCCCTAGTACATGAAGGTGTGTTAGGGACCTTAAATTGTTAGCTTCTTGAGGAACTGATATGTATGTACACAATGCCACTGTGTCATGGTAGGAACCATGGTTGCCACCTATGCTGGACTTCAAACATGTCTGCCCTTGTTTATCTCAATTAGGGGTTGGGGTTGATACAATTAGTAGTTTACCCAAGAAATATAATGCTGTTTTTGGTTCCAGATTATCTCACATGAAATGACAAAGGCTTTGCATTTCTGGCAAGATCAACAGGTATTTTCTGCACCTCATAAAAATGTTCTTCAACTAGAAAAAGTAAACTAATGCAGCCTCCACATCTAATATCTGGTAAGCTTCAGCAGATTACATGTTTGTTTTGTGGTTTAGATAACCATAAAAAGAAGAATGTTCTCAATCATTTTGGTGCGGTTATCACTGATTGAAAATCTGTGTTAGCATTTACTTACCATAACAATACAGAGAATAGTACTTGGCATTAGTACTAAACCTGGCATAATAATACTGGCAGTTCTTCTTACGCACAGTACAGCTAAGACATTGCTTCTCTCTGGTGGGCCCCTGTAGTGAAACTCTGTTGGGAAATATAAGAAATAAAAGTTATTTGTTCCTAATATAAGGCAAGGCTTATTTCTGCCATCATATTTTAACATTGTAATCGTCTGTGCTGGAAGGATGCCATAGACAGGATAGATATGTACAATGTATTTCAGGCTAACAAGCCACTAACATTTTTAATCCTAGTGCCTATGATAGACATATACTGTAAACTCATATCCTGCAAGTGTGCATGTTGCCACTAAAGCTGTTTGTACTTGAGTGAAACAGTGGTCTGCAACAGCCATAGTTACATATTCAGGTTTAAAAAAAAAGACACTGCTCCATAGACAGTAAGCTAAAAAATCTTAAACCCAACTGTGTCCAGCTGAGTTGATCCAGAGTAAGGCAAAAAACAAAAATCATAATAATATAGTGTGCTGTAGTGATTCAGCTGTGTGTGTCATAAGAGCTTCAGCTATTTAGCTCTGTAAACAATGAAATTATTTTCAGAAAAGACATTGGAATTTTGTATAGAGCAGTGAAGGCTTAGAACTCCTATCAGGTTTTTATTTGCTCTCTCTGCCCCCACTATTGGATTACCCCTCTCTGTTTGTCCTATTGTCACCAGGACTAAACAGGATAAGAAATCAAAAACAGAGGGGAAATCTTCCAATGGAAGCACTTGTTCGAGTGGGAACTGTTTAACAGGAGATTTCTCTCATTTTTAGGATTTCTTCTCACTTTTTGTTTTGTCTACAGGGCAGGAAGTATAGGGAAATCTCCCCAGTGGGACAGAGATGGCAAAACAGAAGTGGGTTGTAATCACTCCCTACCTATTATATCCATGAAAAAAAGGCTTGAAAGCTCACCTAGAATGGGTGTATGCATATATATGCGTTATGATTTGATACAAGGTGTATGTTTTTTTTTTTATATATGCATACATAAATATTGTGATATATCAATACACTTGTAGAGTGATTTGGGGTTTATCAATATATATTTCAGATGAGAGCCCAATGAATCACGGTTGAGGCCTATTCATTCTAAAGGTCCACACATTTATATCCTAATAGTGGCCTGGTCCCAGATAATATCCATATATAATACAACCTTCAGATGGTTTGAATATGCGTAAGAGGCTATACATGCTACTTTTTGGTTTGCCTATGTATACATACATAGTAACGAAATAATGAGGATTTTTCATTTGGGGCTCCTATGTTCGTATTTTTCTGTAGATTGAATACAACTACTTATAAGGATGGAATAACCCATACCTGATTAGAAGTTATGGTTTATGAAACATGAGGAAGTTTGAGAATTGTCCTCCTTTTTGTACTTGAGGCCGTTTATGTAGGTATTTACAGTATATGTGCCAGTCTCTTTGATACAACTTATGTAGAGAAAAATAATCTTTGTACAGCCTATTAGTATATGTTTATATTATTGCTAATGTGCCCCTCAGAGAATGGTTCTTTTTGGATCCCCTATGTTTGCCTTGTAGACCTCGCAATTGTGTCCTTCTGCAGTACGCTACATTAATGTGAGCCCATGCTATTTTTGCTTATTTAGTGTTTAATTGTATGTTCCCCTGTCTTCTAGTGATGTATGTACAAATGTATGTCATTTTTTATAATGTTAGTTTTCTACCTCCTCTAATATAGGGTTCTGAGGAAGCTATATGCAAAACATGTTGACTGTTGAAGCTGAGCAAGCTATAAATACAGTCTATGTGGCTATACAACTAATTGAAAAGGGGAGGTTGTGTATTTTTGGGGGACTCTCTTCTCAGTCTCCCCTGCTTTTACATGTATGAATTGTTTCAATGTATTCTAAATTGTTTTACATTTATGTAGAATAAAATAATTTTTTTTTAATGAAATGAAGTGTGGCCTCATGTAGTGCCTATAAAGTCCACCATTATACTGTCTAGCAGTTGTTTGTTATTTTCATAAATCCAGTTGGATGTGGCACATTGAAAGCTCTTAATACTCTTTAAAGCTTTAAACTGATTGTAAAAGCTCAAATAATCTTTGTCACGACCCGCGGTCGCCGCCACCAACAGGCGACAATCGCACAGCCGCGACTAACAGTAATACGTCACGCCCACGGCGTCAGACCCCAGACCTTCTCACCAAACTCGTGACCGAAGGGCCGGCTGATCCAAAACCACGGTGTGACGCGTGTAACAAGGCCCCACCCAGCTGCACCCTACACAGCGATTGCCCAGCTAATGGACTACAATCGGTGCCTGCAGCCTGAATGCGCTTGTTACTGGGTCGGGTTAGTTACGCAACTAACCCTCTACTGCCACCACCACTTTTGTCGGAGACTGGGAAACTCCCGTTATCAAATATACACTATAATGATTGAAATATGGATCTATATAGCACGGCCCGTGGACCTACTATACAGAGATATATAACAAACAGTAGCGTCTCTTTAAAGGCAGGGATTTGTGAATTGCAAGTAAGCGCTTAGAAACAGTTTAACACTTTCAGAAAGAAAGATTTATTTCTAACGGTCAAACAGATGCAAAATAAATAGTTACAAGATGTCACAAAAATATATATATATGTATATAAAGACACAGCAAACATAGAATAGCGAGGAAATACAGGGTAAGTTACTTGCCTTGCCTGGTTTTAGCAAATTCAAGTTGTGAGCCGAAAGGTTCTTTGATCTCCTCTGTTACCACGTTACCTCGGAAATCTCTGTGTGTGTGTGACCCAGTGTCACACACTCTAACTCTCTTGAAAGTCCCTCTCAAAAGAGGAGGGGGGGCTCTGACTTGGGAGTGGTCATTGGGAAACTCTACTCTAACTACAACTCATCCCCCATGATATGAAACATACAGTTCACCTGAGGAATGTGCAGTTTTCTTATCTTGATTAAGATGGGGGAGGAAGTACACTTTACAACCTTTATGACTGCTGGACTGCTGGACGCAGGATGTCTTAACCTGGTTGACCCCCACACCATCTGCCAGAAGATAACGTTTGCCTCACAGGAATGCAGGGGGGATGTGAGGAGTGATTTGAGGTATGCCTCAGATAGACAGACAGAACATGAAAAACAGAGTGTAAAGGGGGACTCCGCTCCAACAAGGATGAGCAAGTTTGCCACAATCTTGTGTGCAACAGCCCCAGTCCCCCTAATACTTACTCAAACTCCCCTCTCGATTCACCAATATGCACAAGAGCACCGGCTCACCTGGGTCTCCCTCATCATTGAGACAGTCAGTCATAGCCAGTGAGCCAATGAGTAAGAGAGCGGGGGGGGGGGGTTGAGCCACACTCTGTGTGTAAATGGTCACACAGAGCAGCGGCTCGGGAACAAGCCTGCTCGGGTGCTCCCATAGCAAGCTTCTTGCTCTGGGGGTACCTGGCAAGAAGGAGGGGACAGCAGCTCCATCGGGGGGCCCTAGAAGAGGAGAACTGGGGCTGCTATGTGCAAAACAATTGCACAGAGCAGGTGTGTATGGCATGCTTGTTTTTTTAAAGAGAAAATCTACCTTTGCAATTAATTTAAGATTATCCTTGTAAGCAGGTGATACGGAGCCTCAGTCTGCATTTACTAACTGAAAATAATAAAAGTGAAACATTCCCAGGCAAAAAAAAAACAGAACTGCTTGGACCAAAAAGAAGGGAGGACTTCAAAAGCCTGTCCTGAAAATTGAAATGTTAGTGCGAAAGATGTTGTTTTTGTTGCAAGTGCACTAACATGGCTACAAGCATCTTAAACTAAGCAAAAAATAAACATAATTCTAAAAATCATATTTTTTGTAACAATATAGAGAGCATAAATGCTGACCATATATAGAAAGAATAATATTCTACATATTTCCTTAAACATACCTATATATATGTCTGCCTCCTGGAAAATCTTCATATTCATTACTTGTGTAATATCTGTAAAACATATATTTTAGGTAATATAAAGGTAGGTTAACGAAATGCTGAAAGTTTCCAAAGAATCCTGAAAATGTACTAAAGATATACCATTTACTACATATGCCAAAATTCCTGCTTTATGTTATTTTCCCATAATGCCTTGCAGACAGATTGACAAGAGATTTTGACATGGCTTCTGGTCAAATCTGAAGCCTGTAACCATTCACTTTGTTCAGCTTTCATTCCTTAGAGCTAGAGTTCCATGAATGTAATAGGTCCAGGAGTCTGCAGGCATACATCACTGGAATGGGACTGACCTGACCTAGGAAGAACTGACCCGTGGAACTGCAGGATTAGGGTTAAGTGTCCTCAGAACTACAGGTCACTGGTGATTGTACACATTAGGGTCACCTAATATAAATCTTTTATACTAGATTTTGTAATCTGAAAAGAACTCCAGCTTAAATGTATTTTCAGTTTTGAGTAGAGTGGAAAAGAGATGAAACCTTAGGTTTTTGTTGCTATCCATTTACCTTTTTACCTCTGCTGGTGACAGAAGTGTCAGACAGGACAAGTGAGGTGCAAACTTTTACCATGGTGATTTAACAGAAATGAAAACTCTGGCAATTTATTACTTTGAGTAGATAGCAGTAAGGGTTCTACGCCAGTGGAGATGGAGAGTCCGAAGTAGTTTTATAGTATTGGAAGGTCAACAAGAAATCCAAGGAGTTTGGGGGGTTCACAAACTCCCCGTTTATCAAGGCTTGTCTGTTATGCTAAAGTAAGAATGCTTGAACTTAAAAGGGTTTAAAACTGTTTGTAGATTGTACATCAATAAATTACACCAGCAGGTGATGTAGTGGATTATTTTGCATCACCGCTGTCATGCTTACCCAATGCCTGCAATAACAAGAACCAAGAACAAGTATGCCGATAATGAGGCTAGCCATCACTCTAAGTCCTCATGCACACTGGACGTTTTTACAGCTGCTATTTTTGGCTTTTGGCATTTTTTCTACAGCCAGTAAGTTCCCCAGCATGTTATCCTAGGTGTCCATGCACACATAGGCTGTAAGCAGCGTTTTTTGACAGGACTAGTTGGTTTCTAGAGGAGTTTTTTAGCTGTAAAAATGCTCTAATGCTGAAATACGCAGTAAAATGTGGTAAAATATGGCAAACGGGCGTTTTTGATTTTTTTTCAGCAAAAAAAATTTTTTTTACGAAAAACCCACCCCCCCCCACAAACGTAAATGCAGAAAAACGTGGAAAAACGCAGCTAAACGCTAATGCAAAAATGCTAAAAAACGCTGAAAAACTGAAAAACTTGTGTTTTTAACGTGAATTTACACAGCTAATACTACCAGCGTTAGTTAAACGCCCAATGTGCATGGAGCCTTATGCTCTAATCTAGTCCTGAATAAGAAAGTATTGAACCAATATGCCAGCTTGAAAGCCAGGCATTCGGGAGTGCAGTAGCAGCTACAATACCTCTCCTACTATAAATTTCCTTTTAACTTTTAATTCAAGCCACTTCTAAAGCCCCTGGATCCACACATTCTTCTGTCTGGGTGTGTACGTTTTTTTCTAGACTACTACAGACCCACCAACTAATGGGGAATAATGGGGAGCAAGCTGACAGACCAGGGAGGTGCATTGAATTGAGACTTGAAAAAACTGAACATAGCTAGAATGATTGCACATTTGTTATTTAAAACTATACTTAAGCTTTAAAGACATTCTGTCTCCAACATAAAAATAGGAGGTAAAGGCACAGAAAAAAAGTAAAAAATACTTTAAATGCTTATTGCAGCGGTGTTCCTTTCCATAAAGTATTTGTTATTCACTTGCAATGTGCGATTTAGCATGCTAGAAAAATTCCCTAAATATGTCCCTCTTCCTCCTAGCACTTCATAACCCCCCCCCACCCTAGGATTGGTGGTCAGTAGCTGGCTGGAACAATATCCCCCCAAAGAAATGTCCCCCAGCATCTGTGGTCAGATGGCTGGAGCAATTAACCTCTACCAAGTATTGGTGGTCAGTAGCTGGGTGAAACAATGAACACCCTTCCCCCCAGCATTGGTGGTCCATATGTGGTTGGAACAATAAACCCCCTTCCAAAATCCCCTCAGTGGATGGCTGAAAAGGCAGCCCATACATTAGTCAGTTTTTTTTGTTCAATGAGTGGGTTGATTGAAACATCTGACTCGATTCTCAGTCCTCCCAACTGAGCTATTGTATTCTGGCAGCTAGGAGACTTCCCCACTATTAGAATACATGGATCAGTGCTGCTGGCCAAAGCCGGAGGTGCTGAACGAGCAGGGAAAATCCAATAAGGTGGTTGTACAGAAATCAATGGATAGATTGAATTTGTACAACCACAGCGCCCTTACATGCCCCCACAACATGTGCAGTAAATGCACCATGGACCCCATTCCCCCTGTGGCATGTGTACATGGAATACTTTGCACACATTATGGATACACTAGTACTTTAAGTACTGATAACATAAATCAATTAAAAAAAAACAGAAAAAAACTGATATTTAAAAATTACTTATATCACACTTACATTGCATTATCTGTAACAAGAATTATATAGGACACTTCCCATTGTCCACTTGTTATTTGAACCGCATTCTCCTATTAAAGAACAAATAAATATTGTATTAATAGTGCATTTGCTGCAATATACAGTATTTTCACAGTGTGTGAATAAATCATCCACACAGCAAACACATATATACATCATAATAAATATCCTGATAGTGGTTTACCCAGTGAAGTGACTGGTCTCAGGTGATACACAGAGGTGAAACAATTCCTACTATATAAGTTGTACCTGTTTATTTGCAGCATTTGTCCTGTCCATCTTGTAAAACTTAGAAATGAAAAGGAATTTGCAGAGACTCACAATGTAGGGGGCGGGGTGCTGCAGTTACACACTGTACAAGAGCTCTGAGAGCTGATTGGAGGGAAGGGACACCCCTCTCCTGTCCACACAGCACACAGGAACAGAGCTGAGACTGTCAATCACAGACTGGAGGGATTGGAGATCCCTTCCCTGTCACCTTTTCAGCTCTTGGTGTCACGAAAACTTGTCATAAGTGATTTATGTTGATAACAGAGGAACTAGACAGCAAAAAGAAATGACACTTTGTACTCTGGAGAGAAGAAGTAAAATATATAGAAAGATGTGCTTTGTTCAGATTTCATGTCTGAGGTTTACAACCACTTTTATATAAAGAGTCACCTACCATGGAATCCTTTATGTAATGAATATGTCTGTATCCATCCTTGTCACTGAGGATTTGGTAGTATGATAAACTGTCTGATGAGAAGTATGGGAGTGCAGCGAAGAACTACAAAATAAAACAAAGGTGTCCAAAAATGCTAAATGCACATACCAAGATCCATCATTACTGTCCAGAAATGGGCAACGCTATGATTGTCTGTGTGCTAGTTATATCATTCGTCGGAGGAATTTAAGTTAGTACACGCGTCTTAGGATGTCTTGGGCTGGTTTCACATTTATGTGTTGTAGTAATATGTGAAAACAAGCAATTTGTGCAACACTTTATGGATTTATTTGATAAAAATGCATCCCAAAGAACAAATATGGTACCTGAAAAAACAAATCCTGTGTGTTAAAAAATGCTGCAGATCCAGATTTTCATCAATTGCTGCAATGACCTGCAAAAGTCTGGAGGGGCCCTTAAAAAGAACCAGTGGCCAGGCTATGAACATTAAAGTGTTACTAAACCCACAACAGTAAAAACAGAGGTGGATATCAAAGCAACTCTGGTCCCCCTCCACCTTCTTTCAGTAGTGACTTGGTGGCCTTCCAGGTGTCCAATTTAAACATAGAGCAGGAGCACTGGTCTTATATTAAAAGGAACCAAAGCTGCCAGGTCACTGCTAAGGCTGCAAAGAAAGGACTAGAATCTGACTACAATAGCTGAAATGCTCTACAGTGCCTGCAGCTACAGAGGTCAGTGAGGGCTTGTTTTTAAGCTTACTTGTTGCCACCAGCTTTATTTTTTTTGCTTTTTCTTTAGTTTTTTTTTATAAAGTGGCAGCATCACTTAATTGGTTAAAATAAAACAATAGATTTTCCTTTAAGTAATACAGTATTTGATCAATGGTTGACCATGTGCCCATATGTATTTGCATATAACCTGATTATGCCATATATATATATATATATATATATACGTATACAATGTATATATACAGTTTAAGACTTCCAGATAAATTTACATTTATCTATTCATAGCAGTGATGATAATGACAGACATGTACATATCAAATGTCATAGAATTCAAATTAGGGTTATGTTCAGTAATAATTACCAAATTGTAGGCAATAGCCTCATTTTCCTTTGTTTCAGAAAGCATTACATTAAAAAAGCAATTGCCATCCATTAAATAGTAACGAGCAAGAAAAACACAGATGTTCATTTAGCAGACATACTTGAGTTTGTGGTAGAAAAGTATCATAAGTCAAGACATTTCTGAGCCAAATGACCAATTTAGTTCAACAAAGTGCATTATAATACCAAAATAATTAATGTTCTATTTGTACTGCTGTTCAAACAAGTCATTAGATTTGTATTTGTTAATTGCACTAATTAGAGTAAAAATGTATCTTTAGCACGTTTCAAAGGAGACTTTCTACCAATTAACATTGATTGGCTAATGGATGTATGGATAACAACGAAGAGGCAGAAACAATCTTAGTAGAAAATGATGACAAAAACACTTTAAACTTATTGTTGAATATTTAATAGAAAAAATATTGAACATGATTGTGTTTGTGTACATGTATGTTTGTAGAAAGGCCTAATTTCTCCATGACAGGCCATAGGGCAGTGATGACACCACTGTTAGCATTTTGCCATAAATTCTTGACACTATACCAAGAATGGTAATACCAAGTATCGAATTCTGGGAGCCTCTGTTTGCAGCACTTGCAGATGGGAACATTTTACACTACCCTTTGATCAACTGCAAAAGTTTGCACAGCAGCAATACTTGAGGGTCCTTAAACCTTAGAACCCTTTTGGCTACCATAATTGCAAACTGTCACGGGAGAAACAAGGAGTCTGCCATTGCTGACTGTAAAGATCAGCCATTAACCTTCACCATCTGCAGGTTATTACCCAACACTGCAGCTCAGGCCTCTGTTCTGCACACCTGATTCTCTTTGTCCACCTAAAGAGTGAACTCTGAACATCTATCCTGTGCCCTGTCAACAAGTTTTTCACTTTGGAGAGAGGTTGGTCAGCTGTTTCTGACTTTTGTCTGACTCCAGTTGCTTGGATTTATCTGTCAACTGTTTGGAGTATGTTACTACTCAGCTTGTCTGTGATTATTTTGGTCATTGGCCCTGTTACCTCCATTACTGGTAGTCTATGCTCTGTCTTCCTTCTGTTTGTCTTGCCTAACCCTGGCCATCAACTGTTGTTGTGACCAACCATGTAAGAATTCACACTGTTCTAGCATCTGTCATGCCTGAACTCCAGAACCCCACAACACTGACTTTTTCTTTTGCAAATGCAAGTTGCCTGGTTGTAATGTAAAGTCACAATGCTTCAAGGTCTTCAATACTTCCTACGTCACTGACCAGGAACAAGTATACAGATCGGATTTCACTATGATTTTCTGATCTCTACTTGTTCCAAAACAGTAACTTAGAAAATAATGAATCTAATAGATCAGTTTTCACAGCCAGGAAGATAGTATTCCTAGAAGGATGAAAGAAAGGGCACCCACTGTATTTCTCTCACCATGGCTTTCCTTTACAGGGAATCTACTACAAAATGTTCTCATATGCAGGTTTTAAAGTATTTCCTGGGGCAGTAAATCTATTGGTGCAAGTGATATTACTTCCTTGGAACTAGTACATAGATGGAAAACCTAAGAATATCAGTTTTTAACTGATGTTTAACACTGCAATTTAACTTTTTCAATTCCAAAGAGTAGCAAGAAAATATCACAGAATTCATCCAAACAGGGTAACAAAGACATTGTTCAAATAAAGTGCAGCGCTCAAAACATTTCAAACAGAAAACATGAGAAAAATTAGAAAATAATTAATTTCAGAATGTTCATAAGTGAAATAACATATGGTGAGATCAAAGCAGAACAGTCTTCAAATGCCATGATGAGATCAAAAGACTTCCAAAGAGAGCCAATGTGCCACCAACCACTTGCATGCAAGGCTTACCAGAAGATATTTATTTCTACTTAAACCAGCGCAAAACCCACAAAGCAATATAAATAAATAACCCAGCCCATAAATAATATTAATCAAAATACATTGTGACACATAAAAAATAGTAATAATTAAAGTGATTTAAAAAAAATTTCTGAAAAAAATCAGTGACAAATTCAAAAAACAGTCCCGTGAAAAAACTGTATTTTCATTGGATTCTTCTGTGCCAATAATACCTCCACCATCCACCAGTGCAAAACCAACATGAACTGCACTCACCAGATATTTGGTGAGTAAAACGCCTTTCAGGGATATTAAGGGCTCCTGGACCCCCTTTTTTATAACCTCCAAATAATGCCTCCTCTAAGACATAGAAACCTCCTCCGGTTACTCCTCTCACCTAATCCACCAAAATTCAGGAAAAAGAAAAAAAGACCATAGCGTGATACCGTTATAAATTCCAAATCTCAGAAGAATTTTAACCAGACCACTCACATTTTAGCAGATATTGCATTTTATTGAAGCAAAACGATCTTTCTTTCATATAAAAACGATTTTCCAATTTCTGACCAGGTCTTGAGAACACCCTGTGGGTGGGGCGAAACGCGTTGACGTATTTCCGGCTGGCCATCCGGCGTCTGTCTGACGTCATTTCCGGTGAGTGGAACGCACAGTGCGTTCCAAGGGGCATCTTTGCCTAGTGAATGAGACTGCATCTGAGGTCTGTTATCCTGCTGTATACCTGTTATGATCCGCCAGGCGGAGCCTTCCGGCTGCCAACTGATAGACCAACCCAGAGCGTGGGGTCTAAGCCCGGGCTGTGCCTTCACCAGGGCCCCTGATGGTGGGGATGGACTTGAAACAGTCCCAGGCCAGGTCACGACCTCTGGGCGGGGCCCACCAGCGGCCGGGAAGGCCTCCGGGGATGCGTGTAGGTACCGGGAGAGCCAGATATGAGGCGGATGACGGCCCCCAGCAGGGTGGCACGGATAGTGGTTCCGTGGGGGGTAAGCGGGGTACCAAATCAGCGGGCAAGGAGTAGTCAGGTCACATGCAGGGTCAGCCAGGTAAATCAGTCCGTAGAATAGTCAGGATATCCGAGTCAAAACGCAGGAGCAGGCAGAGTAGTCAGGACAAGCCGGGTCAAACACAGGGGCAGGCAGCGTAGTCAGGGTCGAAAACAGGGTCACAGAACAGGAGCAGGTATCCAGGATCACATAAGACCTTGCGGCAATGGGTGACAGTGCAGGGCATCTTTAAATAGTGCGCCCTGCACTGTCATTGGCTGGCTGGGACGCGCCCCCGGCTGTCATTGGACGCCTGAGGCGCGCCCCTCGACTCTCTACTGCGCATGCGCGGCGTCCTGTCAGCCGCGGCTCGCCGCCAGTGCGCATGCGCGGGGGGACGGCGCCGTGATGCAGGATTCCG